TAAACTAAACTAAACAAAAAGAAACTAAGCTAATGAAAATAACTACCCAAATACACACATGCTTCTATACAATAACTAAAAAAAAACTCATGAAAGAAAATCATTAACTCAAGATCTCCCAACCAAGTCTTTCTCCCCACACGTCCTTGGAAGGAAAGACAGGACTCTAGGAGATCCCGGCGCCACTCACTCAGCCGCATTACTGGTGAGGAGAGGCGCTGTAATCACACATACATGGCTTAAGTGGAGAATCTGGGCATTGCCAAAACTCCAATATATGCTTACTCAAAAAAGGTCTCTGGGCCACTGCCGCTTCAATCTTCTGGGAGGATTGTAAGGATGGGTGGTGCTGGATAGGGATTGTTCAAGGGGATTTGGATGATAGGTAAGGTTCTAGTGAAATTTGGAGAATTTTTTTTTTAATTTGGAGTAATTTCTAGGATTAATAGGATATTAAGATCATGGTGTAGGGTTTTGTTGGTTACATAGAATGGATTATCAACTATTGTTCCAAAGACTTTGGATTGAAAGGATTGAATGCGTTTGATGTTGAAAACTTTGCTGTTCCCCACAGTTCATGTCCGTATGTCCACAAAGGTTTCAGAATTGTCTTGTAGATAAGTAATTTGTTTTCAATAGAAAATTTAGATTTCCTGTTTAGTAGTCTATATAGTTGGCCGTATCGTCGGTTGAGTTCTTGTCTTTTAAATCTGGCATATGGATTTCATGTGAAACTTAGGCCTAAAAGAAAGCCAAGATACCGGAATGAGTCATAAAAAGGAAGCTGGATGGAGTAAAAGTGTGCTGGTATCCACCGAAAGTCCATGGAAGTTGAGTCTTCGAAGTTTTTGAGAGAGGGGGAGGTACATTTCGACAGGGTTATGAATTTCAGAATAAAACGTTTCATACTAAGGGATAAGGGAAAAACATTGAACAGACCGTAGAAGGTATAATTGTATATGATCGAACCATTTTACTAATTCTACCTACGCTAGTTTTGTTTTTAAGAAAAAAATAAAAAATAAAAGGTGAGCAACATAATATCTTGGGAGTATGGGAGTAGGTTCTTGCTTCATCGACCTTGGGGGGGATGGGCATTCCTGCATCTTGGAGTCTGAGGATGGAAAAACAGTGTCTTTAAAAAACCTGTCCAACGATGATGAAAAATTTTCTCTTTTTTTGGGTAATTACCCACATTTCAGATCCATATAGACTTACGCTTTCAAAAAGAAATGTAATAGCGTTTTTTTTTTTCTTTTTTAGATCCACTCGTTTGTTTTTCATTGGTGCATTTAATGGAAAGTCAATGCTATTAATAGGGGAACTTATTAGTAAAACTACCCCTTAACCGTAAAACACCAGTTTTTATTATAAACCGTAGTTGAGGCCTAGGAGCGATGATTGCTCAGAAAGTAATGATACCAATACTCAGTATCATTCGTGGATTTATATAAGATATCATTTTATTTGTTCGTTGTTTAATTATCAATTATATATTATTTAATAGCATTTATAGTAAAATTGATTCAATAAATACATGTATTTATATTTATATGGATACATGTATTTAACTATGTAATCTTTCATTTTAGTAAACCGAGATTTTAAAATAAACAGGCAATTAACAGGCAGGTAACAGGTTACAGCTAATGTTTTAATTACAGAGATAATTTACATTAATTAATATATTAGTCATTAATACTGAAATGTGGGATAACAGAGATAGAACATGATAGTGGATAATTAATACCAATATTATTCTATGTTTTACCTAATGGTAATTAATTTCGATGTTTATGTTGAGTCGTTTACTCGTTAATTGAATGCAGTTATTCGAGTAGTGTCACTGAGTCAAACCGATTTGATAGTAATTGTCATGTTTGATTTATCACAGTTTATTTTAAGAAAATTAAAAAAATCATCTCCTTCGGCTATGGTTATAATATTTACAATGGTATTTATGGTAGCATAAATTCAAAGCTATAAATATTAATTCTTTTTTTTTCTGAAAAAAAAACCTTTTTCTAGTCACGGCCATAAGTTCTTCTTTGCTTTTTGTCATTTATCTTGTTTCCTAATAATTCCGAATTCTTTCCCGTTATACATACGCTCTTGTAAGCGCTATAACCTTTCTTGTCAGACGGCTTTATTTTATACTTCTGACATTGGCTGTTTCTCCTTATTTTTTATACGCTTAAAGTAGGTCTCAATGTTCTATCTTTCACCTCACTGAGAGCCATGATTCCCATTTTCATGATTAAGCGTAAATCTCTGTAATAATATAAACACATAACGAACCGAAAGGTTCCATGCCGATACTACAAATCGCTGTCTGTATTCTTCCATCCACCGCTGGTGTCCACTGGATTAGGAAAGGAATTCTTTTCATAATAAGCTCAGCATTTTATTCGTCGTAACGTAAGCACATCAATTATATTAACCATGTAAAGTTCGTACAATTCGACGTGGTGTATCCGTCCAAATTCTTCGGTTGACTCATCCTTCTTCGGTCCGAACATTCTACGAAATACTTTATTTTCAAAAACCTTTTCGCGTTTCTCATCCTTTAATGTAAGCGGTCAAGTTTCTCATCCATAGGAAGAAAAATGGTTTTAGGAATTCCAACTTTCAAGTTTCCGTACAATAATCGCAAGCTAATATTTTGGCAACAGAAAAATAGCAGGCATTTCCCGCATTTAACATAGCCTCAACTTTTTCTTTAATTTCTTAATTATATTAATTGTATGTAAATATTGTGTGAATGAATCATGTAGGCTTAATATTAATGCCCTTAAAGGTGGCAGAATGTATTAATATTCAATAAAGAAAGTAAACGAAAAAAAAAAAAAAAATCTTAATATAACTGACTCTAATTACCGAAAATTCTCTATGAGTTCAAACATATTCTCTTCCAAATATATAACACCGCAATTGTCCGTATTTATTTAGCGCCCTGGTTCTTTATCGGATTTCACCAAGCACGGATGTTTTCCATCCAGAATCAAAAATCTTCTTCGGTATGCACCATCTTTTGATTGGCATGTCCTAATGCCAAATTAAATTGGATAGGTGATATGTACTCACTTTTTTGTAATCCTGAACCTCAAATTTTTCGGAAAAGTAATAACTATTGTCGCTCAAAATCGGTTTTGGTCTTGCGTTTTGTAAGACCAAGGCTGGCAAGAAAATTCGATTTTTTCGAATAAAAATTAAAGCGAAATTGTTACAAATACTTATAACCAAAACACTTTTGCATTTAACTCTTCTAATTTTTCATTCGGGCTTAGTCAGGTTTCTTCTATCTAAAAAAATAAATACAAATATCTCTATGGTAATAAGCTAATAGGTAACTGCAAGACTGTTGTGAAACTCTTACGTAAGACCAAGGCCAAGCCCAAGACTGGGAGCACCAGACCAAGACTCGTCTTCTTGGTATCGCATTTGGGCAACACTAATAATAACTAATTCTAACTTCATTGATTTTTTCGGTGTTGCTCAGTAAATCTGTGTAAATAATATTTCTTTTAAATGTATTTATTTCTTATTATTAACTGAAGGAAGCTAAATATTTCTTAATTTAATTATCCCTTAAATATATTAATGTTAACTTAATCTATCTCGATAATAAACACAAAATAAATATATTCATAATACAATTCATGTTTTTATTTTAATAATTTTTTTTTTTTTTAGACATATAATAATCTGTAGCGTGGACAATAATTATAGTGATATATGAACACATTCGCACTATATTTTAATAAATAAGAACAGAAACTGAACCTAAACCTTTAGCTCACCGAGGACAAATATTTTGATTGTGAAAAAAAAAAAAGCCGAACAAAAAACATTCTATTTTATAAATTTATATTTCAACTTTAGTTCCCATGGAAGTTCTGCGCATGCGCTTGATTTGAATACCCACAGTTTTACTATTTTTTAGTAGAATAAGTGCTCAGTTTTACTTTTTTTAAAAAAAAACTAGTTAAGCAGACATCAAAACAACAACAATGGACTAACACCACAGTGAGTAGTGTTGTTATTTACTGTGCACTATTACAGACAGTGAATTTAGTGATTTAGCGTCTATAGGCTTAATCTCTATAGCCCTAACAGCTGACGGCTCCCCTCTCCAGTTGTGGCCCTGCCACATAACTGGCTGGTTCTCAGCCGGCGGTTCATCCATTGTAATAACACGCAGACGTAGTTTTATTTATTTATTTTTTTTCCCTTTCTTTTTTTTTTTATATGCGATATTACCACCAAGTAATGTCAACTAAGAGGTCCCATTCAGTTGGCTCTACCCCACGTAATTCGCCGCCTAAACAGAAAACACGTCGTAGTAAGCGATTAACACCCCCCGGAACTCCTCCAGCGAACACTCAAGTATCTGTGTCTCAACCACTGCCAAGTACGTCTTCACAAGAAATGGAATCTCCATTTTTTACACCTAATCCATACCAGGTGCTTGAAAATGACAGGGAAGAAATGGAAGATGCACCTATACCTCGAGAACCACGCCCACCTCCTATCTTTGTCAAAAATTTGAGAAATTTTCAGTTGTTGTGTACTCAACTTAATAAAATCTGCCCAGGTAGCTATACATGCCTAAACAGAATAAATGATACAAAAATAATACCGGCCACACCTGAAGCGTACCGAAAAATCGTAAAATATTTAACAGACACAAATGCGGACTTTCACACATAATTGTAAATAATGTATGTTTTATATAAGGTGCTTGTTTTACTTTTATTTCTATTTTTATTTACTTATGTGTATATATATTATTTTATTTTATTTACTCTTTTGTTCGTTCTTCTTATTCTTTTGTTATTACTTTATTTATTTATATTTTTGTATATACGGTATGAATGCAATCTCTGAACTCTATTATAAGTGTCCTTAACTGTGACAAATTGTAATATTTCTGAATAAAGTGTTTTTTAATAATAAAAAAAGTTCCCATGGGGGTCGTAAAGAAGATTGTAACGAGATTTTCACACCCCTAACGTACTGCCATTGACGGGCTTTTCCGGACCAATATCCAACGATTGTTTGTCGGAGCGGTGTGTATGTAATTCACCTGGATGGTTGATGAAATTGCTTTAAAAAAGAGTATTTTTTATTTAGTTTTTTTTTCTTATTGTGTTATCTTTATCTAAGAATTACTTTTATTACAAATGCCACATTTATTTACTCTTTCACTTTTATATTTATTACTTGTTACTTTATAGTTTTAATTTATAGTCTCGAACATGACGCACATTACAGGTTTTTTAATTTTATTATTTCCACAGTCAACTATATACCTACCTCCAATTAATATACCATATACCATCGATTAATTTTGTCCACTTTTGCGATTTTTTTCATTGTGTCTATATTTTTCGAGATATTCGGATTCAGGAATTATCAATTAGCAAAATATTTTCTTTTCTTCTATCCTCTGTTGTCATAACTTGTTTTTCCCGACCCTCTGCTTTCGATCATTTGATAGGGACAAATTTTACACAACAATTTTATGCAGACACATATTTGTAATAAAAAAAATCATATGTTCATATCAGATTTTCAATTGTTCAAATTCAATAAAATAAATTTTATACGTCTATTGCCATTTCAGTTATGGAAGCCTGTTTTTAATAAAACACCGCCGTATACTTCTAAATGTTTTCTGTATAACCTTCCAATTTTATTATATGTGCATATATGTATTATGATAACTTGAATAGGTAATGGAAATTCATTTGATAACTATATTTATTTTAACAATATTTATATGATTGCTCAAGAATTCTTTATTAAACTTACTAAGGAGTGTTGTCTTATATTATGTTAACAATATTTTGATTTATGAGTAATGTTACAAGTAGTACAATCATTCAGTTCACATAATTCTGTACAAACTAGTGTAACCTCTTATTTTTAATTACTTTAGTTTGTTTTAGTTTATATACATTTACTTCTAGTATTATTATTTTTGTTCGTTATTTTATTTTTATTTATTGTTAATAGAGTGTAAATGTGCTCTCTTAACACTATTACAAATATCCTTAATTGTGACATATAATAATTCTGAATAAGTAAGTTTAAAAATAATTTTTTTAAATTAAATTTTTATATCACATGGTGATAAATTATCACTGGCCCAGTTATTAATTAGGCCAGAGGTAGTAGTGCTGCTACATATATATATATATATATATATATATATATATATATATATATATATATATATATATATATATAGAGAGAGAGAGAGAGAGAGAGAGAGAGAGAGAGAGAGCGAGAGAGGGAGAGAGATATTACTTTATATGTAAAATTAAATTAATAATGATTGGTTTTTTGAGTACTTGAGAAGAACGTAAATTTGAACGATGAGATGTTAAAAAAAAAGAAAAGTAAATTTTTAGGTATAATTTAAATATCTACAAATCTCTACAATTATCTTAAGTAATTCCAACCATAGAACACACCCGAGGAAGACAAACTCAAAATACAGAGAAGGAACTAAAGAGAAGAGGTTGAGCAATTAACCGTAGCCAAAGACGGGAGGTGTTGGTAAACATCAGTCCCCAACTTCACTACAATCACCCGCCTCATTCACCATCTGCCCCACGACCCCCCTCCCCCTCCCTCCCCACCCCTTCCACCCAACTCACTCCAACTTTTTATTTGGTTCACTTTATCAAATAACTTTATATTATTTATGACGCTCTCTGCCTATAAATAAACTTGCTACAGCAGCTGAAGAACTTTACTAAAAATACTTTTTCGGACGGTATTAATAAATATTAATATACGTATAACCTTTGATACAATTCATGTTAAAAATAATAAAATTAATTATTTTTCCATTTAATGTGTGTTATATGTTTTAATGTAACAATGTATAGCATTTAATGCCAATAGGAGGTCTATATTAATCTAATGTTAAAGCTCTATATTGTAAATTAAGATATCTATAAATAAGTACATTAAAAAAAATGCGGAAATTGCTTGAATTATTTTCTTGTAAATGTTCATACAAACATTTTAGTCGCTTGATAAAATAAAGATCAATTATCATAAGACAGATCTGTTTAAAATAATACTAGTCCACTCTTACTACTGAGGATACATTTTTGAAAAATTAGAAATTTTTTTAATAGAGAGAGAGAGAGAATCACTTTATTATCATAAAATAAAATAAAATGGTGCTGCCCAATTACATTGGGTTGCTAACAACACAGCATACTTATTAATCACTACAGACATTATTTAAAATTATTATACAATTATAGGATTAACAATATGTATGAGCATAGTATACAATATTTTATACGTATATATATATATATATTTTTTTTTTTTTTCCTTTTTTTTTTTTTTTTATAATTTTTACTATTTCTTTCATTCATTTATTATCATTCTGTACCCTTTCTCTTCCTTCTCTCCCCCTATACATGTTCCCACTCACATTCTCTCCTCTCTCTTTCTAACCTAATACATAAAAAATTCATAAAGTACAGTGGACGTGTTCAATAAATAATAATATAAAAAATGCTGTAACACACGCATGCCTCCCCCTCGCGAGCAAACTCTCCCCCTATCCGCTCCCATGCACATGGTGGTGGATGATTCCCAGGGAGTCGAGGATTATACTCTCTGCCAACCTTGCCACGTCCTTTATGTCGACACCAAGGCCCTCCATGAAGCTCCTTGTTGAGTCTGGTATCGTTCCGCGAGCTCCGAACCAAAGGCCTCTCACGTGGAATTCTCTCGGCCCGAAACTCTCGCGGAACTTTTCACTAAGGAAAGGGATGCATTTCTCATATATCTGTTTTTTCTCCCTTTCCACTTTTTCTGCCTGATCGAGGTCGTTGGTCTCATATCTCACGGTCGGATCCAAAATCATCGCCGACTTTCCCGTCTTAGAGAATGCTACAATGTCGGCATATCGGGTGGATCCATCCGTATCTATACAATATACTTCCTCGAAACAGGCGTATTCTCTCTCTTCAAGGAGCCTCATCAGTTCATGCTTGACTCTGTGGTGACGGCGTGTTATAAGGAGGGAGTTGTTGGGGCATTTTCCAAGCACATGTGCTGGTGTTTCTGGCTCTCTGTCGCATTTGCGACAGAGGGACCCAACTTCTCTTACCTGTCCGCTGACACCTGGGACTCCACGCAGGGGAGCATAATTAATATTTAGTTTCAGGGCATTTGACCATTCAGACCCAGAAAGTACTTGCTTATCATACATGTATTTATTGGCTTTCGGGGTCTCTTTAAAATGGCGAACTCCAATGCCCTGCCACCTGCAATTGGTCCATTCCTCAAACGAATTTTCTCGAAGCGACTGCCGTAGAGCTCTCATATTCCGAATACCCCGATCAACCCCCAATCTCTCGGCACATTCATCAACCTCAGCCGAATAATCAAAGATCGACTGAAAAAGGGCATCGGGCACATTGGACAGTCGCTGAGCAATGGACCAATGTTGTAGAGGAGCCTCCCATTGGCAGCGGATTAATCCCAATCCTCGATACCTCCTGGGAGAGTACAACATCGCCGTGGAGGTGTTCGCAGGGAGTCCAACAATAGCCTTCACACTCCTGCGAATCATGGTGTCGATGCCGTCAAGTACGGCAGGACGCAGCTTTGTGAGGGGCGCAGTTTGGAGAGGGTAAGTAAGACCCGGGAACAGATATTGGTTGACAATGTTTAGCTTCTGCTCCGGCTTCAGCAAGGGAGAGGTTACCAGTTTATTCAGGTTTTCGTTCAATTTGGTCACCGAATCTTCGTTGAACTGTAGCTCTCCCGAGAATGTACATCCTAAATACTTGATTGTATCTCCATTCTGCATTGTTTGGATGTACTCTCCGTTCTCAAGGGAGAGCATCGCGGTTTCCAGCTCTCCTTTATTTAGAACGATGCCCACGCTTTTTTGAGGATTAATAGCCAAACCAATTCCCTCAAATGTCCTCTGAACGCTGCCGATCACTCTTTCTGCAGCCCCCTTGTCACGCGCTGACACGGCCTGGTCATCCGCGAAACCTGTGAGGACCACACAACCTTGGTCACTTTTTAACTTGTATCCAAATTTTTTGGAAAATTCTTCATCGCACAGGTCGCGATAGAGATGGTCAATGGCCAGGTTGAAGAGCGACGACGACAAGGGGCCGCCTTGGGGTACCCCGCGCAGCACTTTGATTTGGCTAGTTGCGTGAACACCGTTACTAATTTTGATTGTGTTCGTGCAGAGGAGAGCCGATATAACGTGTTGAAGATCCGGCGACACACCTCTTGCTTCCAAGGAGCTCACGATATGATTGTGGCCAACATTGTCAAAAGCACCGACAACGTCAAGGAATACCACCGCACAATCTTTTTTCATAATCTTTGCATCCTTCAATACAGCGTCGATAATCCTTGCGTTGACGTGCGTTCCCGGGAGGCCTTTTATAAAGCCTCTCTGATTCCTGTGGAAGGTGACCTGTTTTCTTAATTCGTGGTCCAGAACCTTCTCTATGATTCGGCGCACAATAGAATAAATGGTGATGGGTCTCCAGGAAGGGATTTTGTTTACATCACCTTTCCCCTTATATATTAGTATTGTGCGCCCTTGTCGAAGTGGTTCTGGGACATAGGCCACCTTCAACATTATCTCCGCAATTGTTCTAATAATATTTGCAACATCGAAATATTTAATCGTGCGGATCAGAACTCCATCAGGCCCCGGCGATGTGTCCATTGATGTTGATTTAATGGCTTTCTTGACGGTTTCTACATCAATGGACACTAAATTTGGCATCGGGGCACACTGCTCGTAATCCGCACGCCTGCAGAGATTTTCGCTCTCAAAGAGGTCTTTATAATATTTTTCGATATCGGCCATCTTTATAGGACACCTCTTAGGAGCATCGGCATTCATAACAGTTTGCACAACTTTTTTTCTTTTATTGTAATAATTATACTGTGCGACTTCGTATTGATACTGCTCCTGCCGACGACTCCTGTCTACCTTGTTCGCTCTTTGCGGATTTGAGACTTGTCCAGCACCCTTATCAGCCACTTTAGTTTTATTTTTTTTTCTCATCTTGTAAAATTTAACGGCTGGGTGCTGGGGACCTGGCAGTTCCTCATTGATATTCTTGAGAAAATTCAGGAACTGGCCTACGGCCTCATCAAAATCCGCAATATTCATTGTATTTTCTTTTAAGAGATTCTTGAACACGGTAGACCATCCAATAATGTCCTCTTTTATTTTTGATACCTCAACCTCTCCATTTTTTGGACCTATAACATTTTTCACTATGCCCCTCAGTGTATTGGTGTTAGCCTCCCTGGGGTGCT